ACAACGCCTCCAACTGCCGCGCGGGGTGAACGGTCGGGCGGTGCGCGGGAACAACGGTGGGGGCGGGGCGGTCGCTCCCTGATGCTCCCGGGGGCGCTCAGAGGGGCTCTGAGGGGGCTGCAGAGTGTGCGGGAGCGGGGGGTTGAACGCAGGGTGAGGAGCGGCCCTGCCATGAGGGGCGCAGAGACCGGGGGCGGTTCTGGCTGGGGCAGGTGGCTGAGGGGCCCATGGGAGGCCCTGGCGGGGGCAGTGGGTAACTACAGATTTTGGGGCTTTTTCGGTTTTTAATTTTGATTTTTTTTTGTATCCTCAGTGCTGGTACATCACGCCCCCACCCCCTGGACCTGCCCCTTCATTGCTGAGCTCAAGAAAGAGACACGGCCCCTGTCCCCCAGCCCAGAGGCAGCCATGGCTGCAGGGAGCCCAGTGGAAAGTCTCTGGTAGGAAGCGCCACATCCCGTCTGCCTGGAGGATTTTGCAGCCCCTGTCACTCTGGAGCGTGGATACAATATCTGCCAGGCCCCCCACAGCTCAGAGTGCAGAGACACTGAGCAGCAGGGACACCTCTGGTCAAATCGGCAGCTGGCAAATGTGGGGGAACTAGCCAAACCACTTAGTTTCCAGGCAGCAAAGAGAGCAAGATGGGACAGGGTTTGTGGGTAGCACCAGGAGGCTCTGAAGCTGTTCTGTGATGAGGATCAAACTCCCATCTCTGTGTGACAGATCCCAGGCTCATACAGTGGTGCCCAAACAGAAGGCTGCCCAGGAGTACAAGGTACAGAGTTGTTGTCCAGTGTAATGGGAAATAACATTGTTTTTTAATTACAGGATAATTTCACTGACTGTTACCTGTGGCACAGGTGTGACACAGCTCCTTAAAGCCTTCATGGTACAAGAGATACTTTAGAAAGTAAATGCTCTGGCTGTGTGGCAACTTACATCAAGTCTTTACAGATACTTGATGTGGGAAATGTTTCTCTGAGGCTCTGAATCCTGAAACCCAGCCCTCACTGGTGACAGGAGGGGTTTTAACATAAGCGAAAATGTTAATCAGAGAGGTTTAGATCAGTGTTTCTCAACCAGTGGTATGCGTACCCTTAGGAGTACATGAGAGAAGTCTGGGGGTACATCAACACAACTGAAATTTGGGGAACACTGAACTTTTTTTTAAGTTATACAGCTCTTTATTATTTTTCTACTTCTTACACCCAAAAATTTAATCGCCTACCCTGCTACAATTAAGTGATTTAAACAAACGTGTTGCAATGGTAGGAAAAAAAATTGTGTGTCTGAAAACTGTAGATACTAGGGGTACTTATAATTTTTTGTGGGGGAGGGGAAGGGATACTTTCTGAACTTTTTTTAAAATAAACACTGGTTTAGATCACAGGAGCTACAGGCCAGTCTATGGAAGTCAGCTGCCTTGGGACTGGAAAAAGAGGAGGTTACAAGCTGTGACTGGCTGAAAAGCTTATAGACCCACAGTGGAATCAGGGCCCTGCACAACAACCAGCAAGGGACAATCCCTGGCCTGAGAAGGTCACAGTCTAGTTAGACAAATGGTGGGAAGGTAAAATGGGGCAGCAAGTTTCCTTATGGTCACCAAGCACATCAGTGATAGAGTGTAGCCCCTAACCCTGTGCTCGCCAAGTCTATGCTAACTACTAAGCTGCATTTCCCCCCACCTCTCTGTGAAGTGTGGCCCTTAGGTGGGAAGGATGCCTTGCTACAGGCCCCAGGCCCAGCAGGGAAAGGAGGTTTCTTACTAAGATACTGAATGCCTGGGCTGCTGTATGAGGGGCTACAGTCAGATGCAGCAGCCAGCACTAGAAGATGTCGCTGGACTGGATGCTGTGAGGCCCCAAGTGCCTTGAGACCACCCATAGCAGGGCTTCAGGCAGCACAGGGCCATGCTAGGCACCACTGGGATTTGACTGGGTTGTAGCCAAAGTTCAAACTGGTTTACTGATGAGCTAATGTTTATTGGTTCCAGTTACTGGTTAAACTCCCCACTGTTCCGGGCAGTGCCCTCTTGCCCCAGCAGCCACTGTCAGTCTGGAGCTGCTGGGACTCCTCTCCTGCCAGCAGTCTTGGTGGCCACCCCTGGCAGACCTCACAAGAAAGCCCTGCACTCAGGAGAGCCCACGTCTGCTACTGACTTTGTCTGTCAGCGGGTTAAAAAATACTGTAACTGATTAACTTGTAATTGGTTACATGATTAATATTTTTAACCCTTTTTACTTCCCTCATCCCCACTTACATCATTCTTTATGAAGGTGCCACTACCGATCTGTCCCCCACCCTCATAGGCATCCTGCTGCATCTGCAGTCTCCTCCTGTCCCTTTTTCAATGGACCAAGCAACATCCAGGACTGAGTCCCTGCTGGACAGGGACAGAGCTCCAGAAAACTGGGACTATCTTAGAGGTAGACAAATGGGCTCCAAATGTCTCATGGGGTTTACCCTGTTGCTTATTTCTGTTTCTTCAGGAAAAATTGGAGGCCCATTTGAAGACTCTGAGGGAAGAGAGAGAAAAGCTGCTGGGAAGAAAAATTACAGCAGAGGGGAAAAGCCGGAAGTATCTGGTAGGTACCTGTGGCTATGAATCTGCAGAGACCGGCAGTGGGAGGGCTATGTTAGGAGGCAGACTCCAGTGTGGCCTTGGTGAGGTTGCGCTTGTTTGTGTTTCTTCTGGATTGCTGGCTTAGATCTGTGTGTAGACAGGCTCTGAGCTTCCATGTCAGTGGATGAGTTAATGTCCAGTCCCTGTGACTTTCCCAGAAATCCTCCCCAAGGAAGTTGATTGTCCCTGTGAAGGGCTGTCTGCTCACTTGGTGCATTAACATGTTTGCTTCTTTTTCCTGCCTGGGTATCTGTCAGGCTGGTGCTGGGTCCTGCCTCCTGCTGCTCTGAGTCTGAAATTCACAGTGCCCATGAATAACAGAACATGCTGCCCATGACAGACATGGAATCATCCCTTTCAGAGGGATCCGGGTCAAAGGAGATGCTGGGAGAAACATTTCTGCCTAATACCCAAAGAGTAGAGCTAAATATCACAAATTTTAGGGATTTTCAATAAGTTCTCCCTTCTGCACACTCAGCTCTCCATGAAGGGGCCCCGGGCTCCATCCCTGGCCCTGACCAGCCCTTTCCCTGTTTTCACACAGAAATGGACCCAAGCAGAGAGGCAGATGATTGTGGCTGAGTTTCAGCAGCTGCGGCAGTTCCTGGAGGAACAAGAAGGGCTCCTGCTGGCCCAGCTGGATGAGGAAATTGTCAGGAGACTCTCCATGCAGATTTCCCATCTCAGTGAGCAGATTGGTGAGCTAGAGGGGAAGTGTCAGAAGCCAGTGAGTGAATTATTGAAGGTGAGACTGAGGGAGAAACATCCCAGCGCCGCACACACAGGGAAGGGAGGCTCTTGTATCACAAGCGCTGGGGTCCAGCTATCAGATCTCAGTTTAACTCCATGTGCATTGCTGACATGTGAGTGACTTGTGCTTTGTAGAGGCACAGAGCTATTAGAGATGGCAAAGCCCCATTCACCCAGGGGATCCATGTTCCTGGGGCCAGGGCAGGGCCTCTCTTCCCATATTTGCAAAATCCCTTCCCTGAGGTCCCCTGTGTGCGTCCAAGGGGGCTGAGATTCTTTTCTGTGTCTCTGTTCTAGGATGACCGAAGCACCCTGAGTACGTACAGGGCTCTCACTCCCCTCACGCTGCACAGCGCAGGGAAAGGGTTTGGAGCTGATGTTAGCACCACATCTCCCCAGAGCCCTACAGCCAGATGTTAGATAGTCAGAGATATTTGTGATTTAGTTCTGAGGGTCTCATCCTCGCACAGCAGACTCTGGAATTCCCCATAAAGGCCACAGTCTGACCTCAAATGTTTCCTGGAGCTGTCACCTCCCTGGCGGGGACTGGCTGCCTCAGGTCTATGGTGTGGAACATGGGCCTATTGGCCACTGGGCACCATTTAGCCCAGGGCAGCAGGGACCAAGAGTCTGTCCCATCTGAGGGCTGTGTGGAAGGAGCTTGGGAGGGGGGAGCTGGTGTTTCAGTCTAGTCCCTAGTGGACAGATTTCTTCAGCCCTTCACCTGGGAACATCCTGTCTCTCAGCACCTGGAGGCTAAGGAGTGAGTTGGCCATGGAGACTCGATTCCCCTTTAGTCCCCCAGCCAATCTCTCCAGGCCAGAGGTGAAGAACAGCAATGGGACCTTTCAGGGGAAAGTTGCATGGCCATCAGATGTGTTGCCCCTGCTCTCAAGCTGTGAGAATTGGAGGAATTATAACTCCAGGCCTGTTAGAGCTAAGACTCACTAGCCAGAACTTATCAGCAGTAAATGAAATACAATCACATGGAATTGTTTCTGTCCAGGTGTGAGATGGGGCAGTTCCAGCTGCCAGAGGAGATTTCCCCTTAACTGGAAGAACAAGTCAGAGGTTTTTCCCAGAAAATGATTGCACTGTCGGAGACTCTGAAGGAGTTCAAAGGTACCTAGAAGGAATGGAGGAGGGGAAAGTGGTTCAAGTATCTGAGACTGTTGAATCTGGCCTCTGAAGCCAACCTTCTCCTGCCTCAATTCCCACGTGGAGACTGACAGCCCCATCACTCTGCTGTCCTTAGAGACACTGAGCAAACAGACCCAAGTGCTTGCAGATAGAGCCAGGGGTTTGCAAACTCTGAACCTCCCATTCCGAGATCAAAATTGCTAAAGTTACTGTGATGGCAACGTGTTCTGCCACCACAGCTCCAGGTTATGATAAGAGGCAGTAAGTGAATGAGAAACCAAGTGGGAGGGAGTGAGGAAGGAACAGTAAATCTCATTTACAGCTTGTCTCTCATGGAATGGGTGTGAAGCTGCAGGGATGTTGGCTCCATAGCTGGGAGGGGCCCGAGAGAGAGGAAATGAAAGTTTCAGACTCTTCCATACTAAATACCTGAGTGTCCCTCTGTCTGGTCTCTGATACAATTGAAATGCAGAGTTCATAGTGGGGACATTGTTATAAAGAGGAGAGCCTAGAATCTCACCTCTCTTATCCCTTCCCTCACCATATACTCTGCCCTCTGCAGTGGAGAGGTCCAGAAGAAAATCCCTGGGAGCTTTCAGACAGGGTGAGTTTGCAGGTGAAGAGTCTTTAAATGATGAGAAAATTCCCGTGAAAACATCTTCATGGGATTGTCATTGAAGTTACCAACCAGACCCAGCGACCACAGTGCACACAGCCCTAAATCTCACCCAGTGATCAGTGAGGAGTCCCAGGGGATATGTGAACACTTGGAGAAACACTAGTCTGAGTTTGGGATGCTAAAGAGATGAAGCACACAACGGACGGCACCTTCTGGCTCAGATTTCACTGCTCAGTCAATTTCAATATGGGGTTGGTTTCAAACAATAAATAGGCTGAGAGCTGACTGGCTTCCATGGTATCAGTTTGTTCAAGGCAAGAAACTGCTGGATCCCCAAGGGCTGTTAAGTCTAGTGCAGGCCTGGGCAAAATACAGGCCATGGGCCGGCTCCATGGCACCAAGCCATCGGATTCAGCACACGAATGCCACTCCCCATCAGCAAGTCACTCAGAAAGTGACTGTGAGCTCAGAGGAGAGGGGGGAAGGCTTTAGGCGCTACTTCCATCCCCAGGACAATCTCATTGGCTGATTTCTGGCCAGAAGCAAAGCACTGCTCTCCCTCCCCTCTGGATCATAATTATTCACATACCCTCATGGCCCTGGCAGCTTGTACTCACAATCTTTCTGTTAATTGCAGTGCAGGGCTCTGAAGACATGGACCCTAGACAACCAGCTGGGTTGCCTTCTGCTAAGGCCGGGCGGAAAACAATTGCTCCTTTGAGCCAGAGTTGAACCAGCAACCTAAGGATAATTTGCCAAACACACACTACAGTTCTCTGCTCTGCCAACTGAGCTATCAAAGGGTGCCTGATTATTACTGCTTTGTCCATGTTGTCCCTTCTACAAGTCTTGGGGCGCATGCTTCCCCCAAGTATATGTCATTGCTTATGAGTGGCAGAGCAGTACAGGTGCTGTCACAGGTACTTCACATGCAGACGGACCCCTTGAGTGAAACCTGAGCTAGATCCATCCATTTCACAGCAAAAGGAAGAAAGTTGGGTTCTTCTCATGTGTCTTCTTTGTTTCAGAGTCTCTAGGGGTGCGGTAGGGGCAGGTCCACAAAAATACAAGCCACTTGAATGATCCTCGGTCTAGAAACACACAGAAACACCCCTGAGGGTTTCCTTCCCTCTACTTAAATGTTGACAAAAATTTTGTTACTAACTCCTTGGCCAACTCCGATCGCTGCCGGGGGTGGGGGGGGCGTTATGAAATTCTCTCTCCTTAATTCTGTGCCCTCAGGAAGGGAACAAATTGGAGAAGAGCAGGTCCCTTCCTGGGGACTCCAACCCACATCCTAGGACCAAGGGATTTACAAGCCAAATGATCAACATTCACTGCACTTCTCCCTCCCCACAACTGTGCCAAACCTCAAAGGCAACTCTACAGTCCCAGTGGCTGGGGGGGGATGTGCATGTTAGAGTCTCTGCCCACTGAGCTATAGCTTTCTGTGCCCAGGGAGCCAGACACTGCCAGGGCTAGAGGGAAATGGGGATTGGCTGCATTGTGGGAGTCAAAGGTATTGTTTGTGACCATAGAGTAGAACAGTTTCACCACACACCCTAAGGAGGGCCCCATGGCTCAATTTGCTAAAGCAGCTGCTTATAAACAGGAGATCCTGGGTTCAACTCCTAGTGGTGCCTTTTGGTACCCTTTGATCACATTTTTCTGTGTGTTTCTGGGACACAGAAGAGGACTCCTCTGGCCCCCCCTCCCCCATAAAACTGCTGGCTCAGAAAAAGGCTGGTTGGAGAGGACTGTTGGAAAGAAGGAAACCACAAGGCTGGAGTGGTTGCAGAGGCCACTGTGACTGGCAAGGCAGTGGGAGAGTTTGAACTCCCTGGATTTCATACTGGAGCTCTGCTTAAAGCTGCAGGATCTGACTCCAGAGGCTGCTCTTAAATGCAACAGAGTTTGAGCTGCTTACAGCTCTGCCTTTGGGACAGGGATTTTGTACTAGAAAGAGGCAGGCTGGGTGACTAAGAACAAGAGGCTGGGCATTCCCATCATTGAAGGGTTGTTAGATCATCATGAGAACATTGCCCAGTACTCCACTTAAAAGATGGGGCAGCAGGGAAGAGTAGGAATGAGACTGGCAGGGGGCTGAAGCAGCAGGGTTGGAGTGACCAGGCCAGCTGTGCCGGGGGCAGGAATGTCTCCGCCTTGTTCTCACAACTATTCTGGAGGACACTTGGGTGGCATTTGACTCACTAAGGTCCAGCCAGGGGAGCAGGCAGCAGAATCTCTCTTTAAGGGGCCTGAAGGTGCCTCCACACCAATGCGGGCCCTGCTAAGCCTGCCTGGGAAATGTTTCTGGCTTCAGGCTGTCCTGTATAGGGCTTCATCAGTCCAGGGAGCAGAGGGCAGGAGGCATCCCCCACAATACTGAAGCAGCAGGGTTGGAGTGACCAGGCCAGCTGTGCCGGGGGCAGGAATGTCTCCGCCTTGTTCTCACAACTATTCTGGAGGACACTTGGGTGGCATTTGACTCACTAAGGTCCAGCCAGGGGAGCAGGCAGCAGAATCTCTCTTTAAGGGGCCTGAAGGTGCCTCCACACCAATGCGGGCCCTGCTAAGCCTGCCTGGGAAATGTTTCTGGCTTCAGGCTGTCCTGTATAGGGCTTCATCAGTCCAGGGAGCAGAGGGCAGGAGGCATCCCCCACAATACACAGGGGCAGGTCCACATCTCCGGCCCTGAGAGTGCAGTCAGGGGGAAAGTGCTGGGCAGCATCTTCTGGTAGTGTCTGGAGCTACGAAATATGCCGGCATCACGCCCCTTCTCCAGGAATGGTCCCACGTCCTGAAGGAGACAGAAAGTGGCCTGAGAAGGGCTAGTGTAGCTGAGCAAACACCTATAGTCCTTGTCTCTGATGGTCTAGTGGCTATGCTTCAGCACTCTCACTGCTGTGGCCTGGATTTGATTCCCACTCAGGGAAATCTCTGTTCATGAAATCTGCTAAGTCTTCACCCTTTTCCATTGTGGGGAGTGCCAGTGGGCTGAGGGAAGGGAGGGACTGGGGTGCCAGAGGTAGGCTCTGACTGGGAGACACTCCCAGGCAGCTCCCATTGGCCATAAACAAGCTTGGAGCAGGGGCCAGGCATGAAGCCTTTTCCTCTACAGCTGTGAAACACAAAGGGCCCAGCAGCCCCTTCTCTCAGCTGTGCGTGGGGGCAGGGCAAGCAGGGAATCTGCCTGAGGCTTCTTGCTGCCATATTGGGTGGCTTCGTAGGCTGGATCCAGCCCCTTGGCCTATATTGCCCAGGCCTGGCTTAGAGGGAACCTTGGCTCTGGGTTGTGGGGGAGGGATGCTGTGGAAGGGCCAGTCTTGCCTTCCTGGGCAGGGCATGACGACGTCCGTTTTGTGCAGTGGCTGCCAAACATCCCAGACAGAGAATTACATGCCAAAAAGATCTATATTTAGCAGTCAAAGTAGCTCAGTGGAGTGGAGTGAGGAGAGCATTGGTCTGAAGGTCTAATGGTCCCTGGTTCAATCCCTGGCTTTGGCATGTATCAAAGGGGGAAGGAACCTTTCTACTAACTTGTTGTTACTCCTGTATTTGATCATGGCCACATCTGAGTAGCCCTGCTCCTGACTTCTTGTGAGTTACTGCCTCCTTAACCAGCATGTAACAGGAGTCAAGCAGTGAAAAAGTGGCTGGACACTCCAGCCATTGGTAGCTGCAGCCTTGTAAGAGAGGCAGGAATGGGGCAAAGTATCAGGACAGGCAAAACTCATCTTGCTCTGCAGGGCCACTAACAGCAGCAGCTTCTCTCCTGTTTGCTGCCGCTGCGAAAAGCACCCTGAGAGAGAAGTGGCTGCCTCAGAAGCAAGAAGGCAAAAAAGTAAGTGCTTAGTTGGGAGAGGAGTAGACTCAAAGTTTAAAAGTCCCAAGTTCCATCCCCAGTTGTAGCAAAAAATTTAGTCTCCTAAGGCTGGCCTACATGGCAGGGCTGAAGCTAAATCCAGCTTCCTCAAATGCCCAGTGCTTAGGTTAAGTAAAAACAGCATAATGGGCCAAAGCTAACAGGAAAAACTCTTCTTCAACTTCCCTCACTCTTTGTGAAATGAGATGGGGGTGGGTAAGGTAGAGTAAGAGCTCTTTCAGCTCAACCTTATCTTGAAATCAAGGCTTGAAATAATTCTTTGTTATTTCAAAATATCGCTGCTGTGCAGACACACCCTAAGGCTGAGCCCTTGTTTGGCTCCTGTGTGGATGGCCCAGCTGTGCTTCCCAGAGGGATAGTGTCTGCCCTGCTGCTCCACCAAGGAGCCAGCACTTGCTCTGCCTCAGCAATGCAGCTCCCCCTTACCCAACCCCCAGCTTCTTTGTAACCATCTCAGCTGAGTCCTTTCTAGGTGAGAGCTTCTAGAAACCGGCATTCGTGGCTGCAGGGTGAGTCTGGCTCTCTCCAGCCTTTGGATACATGTGAGACATGATCCCAGGGGAACCATCTCCTGGAGCTTCTCCCTGTCCCATGGAACTCAGGGCAGGGGGACCCAGGACCGGGGTCTGTACAGTGCCAACGTGTGTAACACATGGCAACATTTCTCCTTCCTCTGCCAGAGAGGGAGCCAGCTCATTCCTGTGAGGCCATATACAGGTGAGGCTGGATCTGGAGAGGTGAAGCAGTTGAATGGAAAAAGCAAGGAAAGCAGTATATCAGCTACCAGCTGAGAACCTCTAGTAGTAATGATGGTCCAATAGTGTAAGGGGCAGGGTTCAGGAATTTGAATCTTACAAGCTGAGTTCAAATCTCAGTGAGAAATGTTGGCTTTTGTGAATCCTTGAGAACTGATCTTCTTGTCCCTCTCACTCAATTCTACTTTGTGCTTCTTGACTTTTGCAATTTAAGGACTTTGGAGAAAACTCGCAAACATCTGTTCCAGTGGTGCAATGGGTCAGTGCACAGAACTTATAAGGCAGTGCGTATAGGAGACATGCTGAGGTTGTGAATTCAAACCTCACCTAGAGCAGTGGTTTTCAGCCCCTACGGGGCTGTCCCCTTCCAGTGAACCCTGTGGGAGCTGGGATTCCAGCTCAGAGGAGACTATCAGTCAAAATTCCCCCTTCACATATTATGGCCTCATCAGGGTGAATGCTGGGTGTCCAGGATCTAAGGCCAAGTGGCACAAAGAGAGTTGGACCTTGGTCCTTCTTGCTTCCAGGGTCTTCTTGCCCATCTTCTCCTCCTACCAATCAGCAGCTGCTGTCCCTTTTAGCCATTGGGTCAGTTCAGGCAGGGAGGCAGGAAATGGGGCAAAGTAGCCAGAGAAGCTGAGGGAGGCAGGAAAATTCTGATCTCTGCATCTCCCCTATGTGAGGGTATGTCTACATTCTTCTTTCGAGAGAGAAATGCAAATTCAGCCTAGTGAAATGAAGCGGGGCAAATGACGCGTAATCTGTCTCTCTGCAAATCTGTCAATTTGCATAATAGTCTGGCTGCTATTTCGAAATACCCTATTTTGAAAAAACAGGCGCTGTCTAGACACAGTTATTTGGAAAGAAAACCCTTCTTTCAAAATAACCCTTACTGCTTATAAAATGAGATTTAAGGGTTATTTCTGAAGAAGTGTTTTCTCCCAAAATAAGCGTATCTAAACAGCATTTTTAATTTCAAAATAAAGTATTTTGAAATAGTACTGGTCTGCAAATATGCAAATGAAGTGCAGGATATTTGAATCCCAGCTTCATTTACAATTTTGAGTGTCTACATTTGCATCCCTCGCAAGTTCTCTGGGCCCTGACACCCTTAGGAAATCACAAGGGCACGCAGTGTTGTGCTGGCTCTCCTGTACCAGCAATTGTAGTCAGAGCCGTGCCTTGCCAGTTGCCTCTGCACCTGCTCCAGGCTTGTGGTTTCCTTCTTCCCAATGCTCCTCCCCAGTCAGCTTTCTCCTGAACCAGTAGTTCCATGGGTGGCCAGGGGAGGCCTCTTCTGTGTCCCAGAAAGGCACAGGAAAACATAAGCAAATGCTACAGTAAGACACCACTGGGATTTGAACCCAGGATTACCTGCTTATCAGGAAGGTGCTTTAGCCAACCAAACCACAACACCCCTACTG